AGAGAGAGAGAGAGAGAGAGAGAGAGAGAGAGAGAGAAGAGTAGAAAAGTAGATAGTTAGTCAGACAGACATCGTGACAGACAGACAGATAGACTGAGAGGGCTACTGTAGATTAGGAAAAGACGAGGCTCATGATGATGTCGACTTTTGTCTTTTCCAAATCAGGGACCACATCGAGACGAAATGACTTCATCGATTGAAATTTCACGAATAAGTAAAACGATCGATCAAAAATAAACCTACGTTTTAGGGTTTTTATCAATTTTTACAACTACACTGCAGAGGAGTTGAAGGTTGAATCCAATTACGCTGGGAGTCCTCGAAACTTTTAGCGAATACAATTCGAATTTTAAAATATTGGAACTTGATTTTTATTGTATTACTTTATTTCATTTCTTTATTGACTTATTTATTTTTTGGTGTGTGCGTTGGGAAAAAAAAGGGGGGGGGGGCACGTTCTTGCTGCAGTAATGTTCGTCAAAACACAACTTGACGGGGTTTCTTCCTTTAGAGGACCCGACTTTCCTCCTCTGAGGGGCAAAAGCTTTGATTTTGACCCAGTCCTCCTGGATCCACCAAATTCAAACGTGTTTGATTTGCAAAGTGACAATTGTATGTTTTTGATGAAAATCGTGGCCAACATATCGGAAAGCTACTATTTGTCACACGATGTTGTGTGTAAAGCTGTTCGTTTTCCCAGGCAAAAAGGAAAAAGAAAAAAACATGTGAAACAACCCCAGAAAGTCGAGTTATCGCCTTGCAGTTCGCTAGCTTATAGATTCCAAAGGGTGCATTCAAACTGTAATCATCCACAGGGTAAGAGATCAGGGGCAGGCCCTCGTGGAACCAGGAGAAGATTCACAGAGAAAGATAATACAGAAAAGCGGGAAGATATAATGGTAAAATAATATCAAGAGGCTATCCCAGGATAGAGAAAAGTGGAAAGTGTGTGCTCGTAGCTCCTACCCTGATTCAGGGTGAGAAAGGCCGTGATGATGATGATCCAATTTGTAAGGGTATTTTGAGCTTTGGACAAAAGGTTGGCTTAAATCGTTGGATCATAGATCGATTGTAAATGTTTTGCACAGCTATGAACACACGCTTAAGCATTCACAAGAAGAGCTGCTCTGACTTTGCCTGTAGAGTACAGCCCAGACCGAGAGGGACACAACGTGCCAGCAGACAGACAGAGATACTCGATAAATTAACTTCCCTACTCGGGAATGACTCTCACGTCTTCTGTTTGCAGAGGCAAAGAGCCCATAACCGTTAGACTGTAGACAAATGTGATCACAGTAGTACTTCAAACTGCTTAATTTTTGTTTCTCTCACATTCGAACTCGAAAATGAAATGAGATTGACAATATTAGAACACTTGAAAACTGCCCACTACAATATGACCCATAACGCCATCAAGTCAACGCCACTGTCATTTCCACATATTGCAGGAATTTAATCATGAAAGGTAAACAAGAGACAGGGTTAGAATACATTGCCAAGAACATTAATTGTGATATACCGACATATGAACGCTGAAGTAATAACAGGTATAAGCACCCGTAGTTTATCAAACATAAAACTATTAAGGAACACAAAATGCATTCATTATAACCAATATTATACTCTCTCTAGCCCACATTGCTTTTATTTTGTATGCAACTGACACATTTAACCATCCAACATCTGGAGACTCCTTAGTAAAAAATTTAAAAAGTCACAATTTAAAAAATTAGTTTTCCCCTTGTCGTATTCTATAAAAATTGAACTTTCTTCGCCCCGAACTAATGATCCCACAGGTAACCTACCTAAGTCCTGTGCTTGCGTAATGTAAAAGAAACGCTATACTTACAAGGGGATGAGAACTTCGAATTTCAAAATTTTCCCTTCTTTCTCAAACTGAGACTTATCTGGGTTTTTTCCACTGGAGTTTTCATTTGACAAAGCGTTTCGTTTATTTTCATCCTCTCTTCTGACATGCCTGTTTTATTATCCTTTCGAAGAACTTAAGACAGTTCGGAAAGGGCAGAGAACGACTTCACCCCCCCCCCCTCCCCAACCTTTCCGCCCACTGAAATATAGACGTTTTGAGGACATGCGCCGGGAGGGAGAGAGGGAGGTTTGGGGGTGGGGTGGGGGGTGGGGGGGTCGGCCGAGCTCATTTTTCTTATGTCGTCATTTCTGTTTTAAGTGAAGGTCGATACTAATGAAAAAGTGTTGAGTTAGCATGATTTTTGATAAATACAGTTTTTCTTTTTCTTTTTTCTTTTTAACAATCACCATTTCTTCGTTTTGAGTATGAAACCCGCATTATACTAAAGCGTTCAGCGGTACTTGTTCATAATCAGTGTCAACAAATTAATCTCAGACATGATCCTCCCCCCACCCTTTTCAACCCCATAAAAATAGGTAAAGGCGGACAATATCGACACAGCGTTTAAGAACATCATAAAACAACATTTTGCCAACAGGCTGTGAGGACTGACATCCACAAATGTACAGACAATGAGATAAGGCAAGTACCGTATCATCATGAAGTCTCCCATAGTAGGAATATACACAAGAAAAATATTTCTATTTATGGTCATATCAATGATGCCAACTTGTCATTTGATATAATCAGTCTGTAATTACGGCTAAGCGTTTCGTCATCGCACGAAGGAGACCCAACTTCAATTCAAGTTTTTATCGAATGTACAGGTATAGGTCTTTTTGCTGGGACGTTGCTGTAGACAGAGTCAAAGTCCGCCTCTTATTCTTAAATGACCTAGGCTGTGTCAATGGGGGCGTGAAACACCCACATTGTTAAAGGCGCTTCTCTAACTGCCTTGCTTGATTCAATCGGAGATGGACTTAAAATTTGGAGGCACCGCCCCTTATGTGACCTATAGTATTAAAAGCGACCTTACAAAAACATAATAAGAACCAGATACCTTCAGCTGAGGCGTGCACTCAGTGTGTGGTAAAAAATAGCTCGTTGTCAAATCGCTACCTCAGAATTACAAAGTTCTATCTGCTCATTACCTAGTTTGAGAAATTTGACGTTCAAAAAATTTTAGTTTCACAACGAGTCAAGCTTTTTCGAATACAATTCTTTGAATATCTTTGTAACAACTTCAATTAATCTTACAAGTCTTATTTAAAAAAGAGAACATAATATTTGGTTTCTGACATAATGATCTTAGTAATTCAAAACGGCTAAAAATGTCAGATATAGAACTTTGTAATTCTAATGTAGCAACATGCGCTCGGCTCCAAGAAGTGAAAAATTGTTTTGAAAAATCCATGCATTGGAAATACAATGAATTTTGAAGTGAGGTGACGTCTTTCGCACCAAGAGGATGACAACAACAATAAATGAATATAATATACACAACAAATGACAAACAAGATGGCGCATTTCAACTGCAAGAAAAAACATCCCTTTATCATCTACGTCTGTAGAGGAAATACAGAATTTCCTTTATGTTGTTTGTTTTGGGGTTTTGTTAGTTTGTTTGTTAGTTTTTAAACCAATCTCGTGCCACAAATGTAGTCACTTCTTTTTCTTATTTCGAGCCCTTTGTTGTTTCTTTTCTGAACTTCAGGCGTTTCAGAACCTCGCATTTCCTTTGTTCCTCTTTTCTTTCTTTCTTTTGATCTTTCTTTCTTTTTTCATTCTTTCTTTTTTTCCCCCAATGTTTCCTTTGCTGCCACTGCTTGCTTTGAGTTTGTTTTGTTTTTTTGTCATTTTTTTTTCAACAATGTTTCCTTTGATTACCCATCTTTCTATCTCTCTCCCTCTTTGCCACTGCCTCTGCTTCTCTGTCACTGTCTTTCACTCATTGTCTCTTTCTCCCCTCTTTATAATTATCTCTCCATCTTTTATCTCCCCCCTCTCTCTCTCTCTCTCTTTCTCTCTCTCTCCCTCTCTCTCTCTCTCTCTCTCTCTCTCTCTCTCTCTCTCTCTCTCTCTCTCTCTCTCTTTCGCTTTCCCTTCCAATATCAAATCCTATAAAAGGTAATGTCATTATTTATTAATGAAATGCTCATAACCGGTATGACATTTTAAGTAAAATCTCAAGCTACCTATGTACTCGAAACATTATGTATGTATTTCTTATCTCCAAACAGAAAGCAAACCAAAACCCAAACCCGGGAACCTGAACTAGGAGGAACTAGAGCATCAGTCGGAAGCGCTGGTGGTATCCTCTTCCGCCGTGGACGCCATTTTCCTACAACGGTCAACGCCCGGATTCCTGAGCCTGATGGACTCCTCAGGTATAGAGATAGTGGTGGTGGAGGCCAGAGGGTTAAAGCGTTCACTGAGCCGTGAGACAGCCGTGCTACGTCGGTTGTTGTCTGCCGTCTGGGCGTTCCTCTTGTGCTGGAGCTGCTGCATACGCCGCTCTCGGATTGTCTGAGGCGGACCGCGACACTGGAAGACACGCGCAGAAAGTTAGTCAATTAATTATGACAATATAAAACTAGATAATTAATGGTACTAGCTCAGATAGCTCAGTAAATAGGCGTTTTTAAAAATACATAACTAAGTAAATGACACTAGCACAAAATAGTTCAGTCTATGAATAGGAAATACATAAATAAATAAATGATAGACACCCTAATAGTTTAGTTAATGAACTATAAATATACATAACTAAGTAAATTATACTAGATGTACCACAAATAATTCAGTCAATAAATAAGAAATACATAAATAAATAAACGATACGAACAGAAATTTGAATAGTTCAAAAAATTATAACGGTACGTAAAACTAAGTAAACAATGCAAACATAAATAGGCCCATCAATGAATTACAAAATTATATACCTAATTAAGGTGCAAGCACAAATAGTTAAGTCAATGATAAACATACGTAACTACATAAAAGACACAAGTACAAATAGTTCAATAAATATATAAAAATACATCGGAAACAAGCACATATTTTAATAGTTACGTCAATACGCATAACTACGTAATTGATACATGCACATATGATTCAGTAAAAAAACAAACAGAACTAAATAAACGACACTACCACAACTAGTTCAGTCAATGGATAAAAATACATAACTAAATAAACGAATAAACAAAAGTTTTTAAAAAACCCAATAAGGATTTACCATACATAAATAATAAAAATAAATAGATACAATAATGAAAAATGAATACACAACGGATAACGAATAAACAAATCAACCTAAAAGATAGAAATACAATATTTCTGTTAAAGATGTCGGTGCTTTCTGCCCTTATTGATGGAATTTAGAATGTTCAGGAAGCGGGCTTCGACCCTGCCTGCCAGGGTCAACTTTGTCTGAGAGGGATACGACATCCTAGCAGAGAGACTAATGCCGCACTAATGGGGTTACAACAGGAACACAAACATACTGACACTCAAACACACACGTTACGCACACATACACACACAATAAAACACACACACAAAAACACACAAACACACACACACTCACACACACACACACACACACACACACACACACACACTCACATACACACACGTGCAC